TTTGAGTTTTTAATAAAAAAAATGATAAACGACTAAAATGTTTTGTAAGTATGTTATTTACCCAAACTTCGATCGGTTCAATTAAATTGAAAAATTTCTACTTTGAATATGTAACAAAATGACGAAATTAATGACTATTTGTTTATATTCATCGATTATGATTAAATTCTTTTTTTTTTTTATAATCCAAACTTTCTTTTGACATGAAAAACGTTTTATATTTCACAGGTGGGTAAAGACAGCTTCCAAGCTGAAAAAATATCTCAAATGAATGAATTTACGTAAATACCCTTAGACGGCTTCACATCTCATATATCCCAACAACCCTTCTGCAAAAACCTTTAAAAAGTCTAAAATACCCTTTCCGTACCATTTCTCTTCCCTATAAATCACTCTCCTTTCTCTCTCCTCACATCAACCGCCTCCATTGTCATTCTCTCTCTAAAAAACCAAATCAACAACTCAGAGAACACAGACAGAGAGAGAAACCATGGCTCTCTCCAACGCCACGTCTCTCTCCTCCAGATCTATCTCCGTTGACGGCGTCGCGTTTCTCCCTCACCGTCAAAGCAATCGTCAATCGTCGTTCACATTTCACCCCAAGCTTAAGTCCGTTAATCTCGTCACGGCGGTACACGCGGCGGATCCAGCTAGAAACTCTGTTTCAGTCAAAGAATCCGTTACTCCGGCGAAATTGAAATGGACACCGGAGAGCTGGAAATTGAAGAAAGCATTACAACTTCCTGATTACCCAAACGCTAACGAGCTCGAATCTGTGCTTAAAACGATCGAAGCTTTTCCTCCGATTGTTTTCGCCGGAGAAGCTAGGAATCTAGAAGAGAGATTAGCTGATGCTGCTGTTGGTAAAGCTTTTCTTCTACAAGGAGGTGATTGTGCTGAGAGTTTCAAAGAGTTTCATGCTGATAATATTAGAGATACGTTTAGGGTTTTGCTTCAGATGAGTATTGTACTTACATTTGGTGGTCAAGTTCCTGTGATTAAGGTCAGATCTTCCTTCTCCTTTACACTGTTAGTTTGATTTGTATTGTGCAGAATTTGATGATTTTTGGATTTGATGATTTTGTTTTATAGGTTGGGAGAATGGCTGGTCAATTTGCTAAGCCTAGATCTGATGCATTTGAGGAGAAGGATGGTGTGAAGTTACCTAGTTACAAAGGAGATAACATCAATGGTGATACTTTTGATGAGAAATCGAGAATTCCTGATCCGAATAGGATGATTCGAGCTTACACACAATCTGCAGCAACTTTGAATCTTCTTAGAGCTTTTGCTACTGGAGGTTATGCTGCGATTCAAAGAGTTACTCAGTGGAACCTTGATTTTGTTGAGCAAAGTGAGCAAGCTGACAGGTACATCATATTTACGCTACTGATCAAGTTGTTGTTTAGCCTTGAAAGTTCATTGAAGTGTTCCTTAATTTGGTGGTAATAATCTTAAGAAAGGAAATTACTTTGAACCACAGACATTTTGTTGTTGTTATAGCAACTATTGTAGGCCATTTAACCACAGACATTTTGTTGAAACAAGAATGAATGGATGTGTTTGTTTCAGTTTCGTCAAGATGCTAAATTTTTCTTGTCCTGTTAAGTTGTTAACCTCTGTTTTTGTTGTACAGGTACCAGGAACTAGGCAACAGGGTTGATGAGGCGTTGGGGTTCATGTCTGCATGTGGACTTACCACTGATCATCCACTCATGACTACAACTGATTTCTACACATCACATGAGTGTTTGCTTCTGCCTTATGAACAGGCTCTCACAAGGTTGGACTCAACTTCTGGTCTGTACTATGATTGCTCTGCACACATGGTGTGGTGCGGGGAGCGTACCCGACAATTAGATGGTGCTCATGTGGAGTTTCTCAGGGGGATTGCTAATCCTCTTGGCATTAAGGTATTTTACCTATTAATTGAAAATGTATAATCACGCGTAGATAGGGCTACTGCAATAGGATTAGGTAGATATTAACTTTGGTTTGTGATGAAGCAAAACAGGGTAGTATTTGAGGTTTATGCTTGGTCTCATGGCAAAGTGACAATTAAACAATCGATTTGCAATCGTCTTTTCTTTGGTGATATCTGATTTGAGTTTTTCAACTAAATAACCAGAGTGATTGGCTTGAATTTTAAGTGGAATTGACTGAATATCCAAAACACTTGATGCAGGTGAGCAACAAAATGGATCCCAATGAGCTGGTCAAACTTGTCGAAATCCTGAATCCTAACAACAAGCCTGGAAGGATCACTGTAATTGTGAGAATGGGTGCCGAGAACATGAGGGTTAAGCTTCCCCACCTGATCAGAGCGGTCCGCAGGTCAGGCCAGATTGTGACATGGGTCTGCGATCCGATGCACGGAAACACCATCAAAGCACCTTGTGGGCTCAAAACACGTGCCTTCGACTCAATCCTGGTAACACATTTTGTCAGCATAACATGTATTTACCTTCAGCATATAATTGTGTGATTAAAACGTGCTGTCTTTTTTCAATAACAGGCTGAAGTAAAAGCATTCCTTGATGTGCACGAGCAAGAAGGAAGCCACCCGGGTGGTATCCATTTAGAGATGACTGGACAGAACGTGACAGAATGCATTGGAGGGTCCCGTACTGTGACCTACGATGACTTAAGCTCTCGCTACCACACACATTGTGACCCAAGGCTCAACGCCTCTCAGTCTCTTGAACTGGCCTTCATTGTCGCTGAACGGCTCAGGAAGAGAAGAACAGCTACTCAGCGTCTATCTTGATTGCGGTTTTTATTTGAAATATATATACATTTTGATTCCAAGAACTCTAGTTTTTTCTTTTGTTTTGTGAGTTGGTGTCTTTAAGATGACCGTATGCCTCTCTAGGATGAGTGAACTTGCTCTAAGCATGTCTTTGTTCTTTAAGTTAACTTTAATGTTAAACCGTGTGACTACTACTGTAAGTGTAAATTACTTCTTACATTTCTGCAAACACGAAACTCGTTCTAATAAGGTTCTTTGCGCATTGGCTATTTTCAACTTGAGAAATGAAATAGATCATAAAAACAAGTCGAGGTAACTTTTAGCCAAAATGAATTTCGAAGTGGCCTATTAG